ACCGATTTATCAATATTTTTTAAAAAACTAAAATAACGAGCGCCCGCGGGCGACAGCTATTCAAGGTTTTTTTCAATGATTTAAACGCATGAAAACAGTAGAAAAATCAGTTTTGTCGTATATTTTTCAACTGACAAATGTATTGGGTTCGTGGTCGAGTTCGAAAATGCTAGAGGAATAACTCAGCAACAGTTATGAAGAAAGTCAGTCATGGTGGCAATAGAAAACAAAAAAGTAACCAGTACAGATCTACAAATGAAAAAGTCTATGTACGCGAGAAATTTCCATAAATTTCGGTGACTATGAGCACACTGAATCTCTCGAGTGACGATCGATGCGTGTCTTCTATTCAACTTGTTGTCTAACTTTTTATCGCTCCTACTTTTTAGATCAAAAGTTCTAGTTGTATTATAAACAATGGCTCGCCTTTATGATGCCATTGAACCTGAAGTTGTATCGATGGTAATGCTTGAAGAAGCTGTTGAATCCTTGAGGGCTGACGGTGAAAATTTATTAATACCAAAAGAAGGAAAACTCGACTATAGTGAAGTACAAGCAATTCGATTAGATTTTAGAAGTAAGTTGTCGTATTTTTCTTTTCATTTTTCATTCTATCTATAATAAAATTTCTCTAATTCTGCGTTTAGATATTCTACGTATTGAAAATTTATGGATGTTTACAAATCTAACAAAACTTCAAATGGATAATAATATTATCGAGCGAATTGAAGGTTTAGATACACTTCAAAAACTGACATGGCTTGGTAAGTTATACGCTTTTGTTGTGGAGAAAGATCATTGTAATTACTGCATGCTCTATCTAGATCTATCGTTCAACAATATCACAAGGATCGAGGGTCTTGACTCTTTGACAGAATTAACCGATTTATCATTGTACAATAACAGAATTAAAGTCATCGAAAATATGGACATATTGAAAAAATTAGACGTATTTTCAATTGGAAATAATCAAATCGAGGACGAAAATAGCGTTAGTAAGATATAAATTTAAATTTTTTGTTTATGTTTTCATCTGAAAAGTCTTTTATACTCCATCTAGGAAGATATGTACAACGGAGATTTTGCTTCTGTTCGTCAGCGTATAAGTAGAACATGAAAAATGAAAGTATAATTGGTGCTTTAGTTGGATGTAGAAACTACTCAGAATTCAGTCGGAGGAAATACGTTGTGGGAGTTTTGAAAAGAGCATATTCTAAGATGATAACTAGGAACGTTTGTTGGTTTCGGCAGTTACTAATACATGAAAATAACTGAACTGTCAGACAAAACTGCAGATAGAATCAAACCTTGCATTTCACCTAACAAAATGTGAGAGGGAGGTGTATTAGGAGTCCCTCACTCTGAGTCAACTCGGTTACCTCGTTTACTGTCTTCGATAGTGTTATTTTGTATGCTAATCTTGAATGTCGACTAATTTTAGATACGGTATTTACGGCGTTTTTCTGGTTTACGTACATTATGTTTAAAAGGCAATCCATTTGCAACCAAACCAAATTATTATGAGTTTGTTATCTCTCATTTACCACAAATAAATTTTCTGGATTATAAACTTATTGATGATGCACCGGTATGCACATGATTTTGTTTATCTTCTCAATAAAATTACTGAAAAGCTTGAGTTTATCTTTTAGAGAGAAGAAGCGAGCAAAAAATATGAAATTCAACTTCAACAATTACTTACATTAGAAGAACAAGAACATGAAAAACAAGGGAAATTAGATGAGCAAACAAAAAAATATCATCTCTACAAAGTATGTGTTCAGTGTTTGCTGTATCATATTTTATAAACGATTTGATATCTTCAGGATGCATTTGTTGAAAATATGGATGAAAATCAATTATTTGCAACAATGTTTAAAGAAGATGTTGAAGGCTTGAAATTAGTGAAGGTACCGGGTGCTGATGAGATTTTAACACAATTTGAACAAAAATTTAGTACAATTGTTAGAGCAATGTTCGATTCCGGACTTCGAGTAAGATCATTCGTCTAAATTATTTCGATCTGTAGTGATTTTCGCTTTTTCTTATAGGAAAAAGAGTTACGTGATAGAGAAATTGAAGACTTTTGGGCATGTATCAATGAAGCAAAAGATGAAAATACGAGAAAAGCAGCGGTTGTTGTGGAAGAATTTAAAATATATCGAACGAAAGTATTTGTAAGTATTTTGCACAGTTTTATTTAGAAAAGAAATACTTTTTGTATGGCGAGACAAAATGTCACTAATAAAGAAAAAAAATTATTGTCTGCCTATGTAGGATAAAAAGCAACTACCCTTCAAAAGTTGTTGAATTATACGGAGTATCGTAAACGTACTTTAAGTATAATGTCCACATCCTCATCGTCAGAACAATATGTACTTCAACATCTCCTATAATATTTCTTTCCTTTAATCATATTCTTCTGTAATTAATGATAAATCTTTTTCTTTCTCTCTCCAATTCTCTTTTTTATTATTTTGTATGTCTGTTATTATCTTTCCTGCTCATCCGTTCTTTAAGACTCTTTTGCAAATTGATACAATGTAATCCATTGCATCGCACTTTAGATTTGTATTAAGATTTTTTCTGCATTTTCAAATAAAGTTTATACCAACAATATGTAAGTAAATAAGAGTGAACTATTTAGTGATCATTAGATCAGTGAATAAATTTAAGAAAAAGTTATCCAATAAAAATTAATAGAGAATTATGTCTGGTTGAATTCTGCAGTAATGTGTGTGCCGCTGCTCTTGCTGGTTGGTTTCTGTTTAGTTTGAATGAAATGCTTATAACTTGCTTAAAATGTGCGGTGCAAAGGGAATATAGCTAATAAGAAGTAAAGTTGGAAAATATTGAAAATAAAGAAATCGCCACGTAACTTACGTCCATACAATATCTATAACCTATAATAACATCTACTGTCGGCTGTCACTATTGAAAACGTTTTGCTTTAAGACAGATCTTGCCGTACTGTATTCTATACTACGAGTACATTTCAGAACAACGTGTTTTTCTCTCTAATATTTTTTATAAACTATTATTAGCACGTACGAGATAAAGTGAAAAAAGCAATAATTATCAGTTTTCACACAAAAAGAACGGAGGAAAAACAGAAGTTTTTCAAATACAGAAAATTCACAATAAATCGATTAGCTATCGAAAATGCAGAAATTAAAAAATTCATCACAGCAAACAAAACATATTTTAAAAAAGTAAAATAAAATTAAGGTGTGAACGACGAGAAAGTATTTTGATCTATTGAATCATTACTTTGTTGGGATGATTGATATTTTAAAGATAACGGAGCAGCCCCTGAGGTTTTTGGCTCTTGTAATGGGTACCATGCATGAGATATACGTTGAGGATCAAGATTCGATAAATCAATCTGAAGTTCTCCCATATACGTTTGTTCTTTGCCAAATAATGGCGAATTATTTTTAACACTTATTTGTAATTTTTGTCTTTGAATTTCGTTTAATGAACCATTCCATTCGAATCTAAAGTATTTGATATCAATTTCGGAGTATATACTCATACAAGAGTCTTATCTGAATTTACTCACGATTCTTCATAAGATGGATTGAGATTATCATGCACAGATTTTGTTTTCTTCTTGTCTTTTTTATGATTAGGTAATAGAAATAGACGAATATATGGATCTGGTAAATGCTGATTATGAACACTAATTAAGTCTCTATATAAAATAGGAAAAAAAAGTGTGTCACCTTTTCTGTCTAGATATTTCAGAGTATACAAACTTGCAATCGAATACAACAACAGTTAAACAACGTCGTTGTAACGTATAACGTATCGCTAAACGAATATGACCATATGGAGATTGACTAAAATAAAATATTCTTTTGACAAGTGATTAGATTTAACGAAACTACAAATAGACCTCTGAAAAACTAGTCTCTAACGGGTGTGCCATAATAAACTGGACTAAATATTACTGCATTTTTTTCGTACTTCCTCTTCAAATAAAAAGTTCCTTTACATACCAAAAGATAAAGAATTTCAAGCTCTACAAAACCTACTATTCGAATCTCTGAGAGCATTTTTCTCGTTTGAGCACCATTCAAAATATTGAAGAGTGCTAAGATGTCGAACTGCGACACACTGAAAAACAGAAAAACATTTGCCTTGATCCAAAAATAGATTCCATAAGATTTTTGAAAACATCAGAAGATTCACCGGAAAATTCTGCATCTTCTCACATATTTTTCGAAATTTTGCAGTTAAATCTTTTAGGAAAATTTCTCTGTGCAAAAAGCTGATAAATCTAAAAAAACCTAACTTTTGAACCTATTTTTTACAGAATTTAGTTTTTGGACTATAAAAGCAGTAAAACGTTCTGAATCCAGGGTTTTAGCCTTATTATCTTACATAGAATTAAATTCTACGTCTTTTGATATATAAACAAAGTTTCTCAATTGAAACCATTAAAAAAATTAATTTAATTTGAAAAAATTGAAAAGCCGGTTGAGAACTAATTATGAGATCAGCTGATGTAGTAGAAACATTGTATAAGATTGTAAATGAGTGAGATCGATAGAGCGCAAAATTTTCTATCTTTCTACCTAGAAAAATTAACTATTGAACCTCAGACAATGTGCTAAAAATCTAAAAAAATAAGGCAACAAAAGTACGTCGCAGTTCGACAGCTCAGCACTCTTCAATATTTTGAATGGTGCTCAAACGAGAAAAATGCTCTCAGAGATTCGAATAGTAGGTTTTATAGAGCTTGAAATTCTTTATCTTTTGGTATGTAAAGGAACTTTTTATTTGAAGAGGAAGTACGAAAAAAATGCAGTAACATTTAGTCCAGTTTATTATGGCACACCCGTTAGAGACTCACTGTAAATTCCTCGATGAGCTCTACTAACTAGATTCGTTCATCATGGAATTCAGAATGAGTCTCCAGCAATTAATTTGGAAAAGCTTATTTAAAAAAGCTGCATCAATCGAAATGGATAACATATTCGTGACCAACATTAAAATTATCCAATAATCAAGTAGGTTTCAACAAAAGAGCGAGTAGACATTTGAGAATGTTTCCTCGTAAGATCTTCACTCTTTTGCTTACGCGGTACTTACTCGATATCATCGTCGGTCGATAATGCTTTCATAGGTGTTTTCGATAGCGTAGAACTTAAATTCGAATTTGAACCACTTTGATGCTGAAGTTCAGGGGTCTGAAATTTTATAAATGCTTCGTTAATTGAAATTATATAAAAAATTCAAGAGAGTTGTAAATGTGACTACAAAATCTTTCACCTGAAGTTTATATTTCAGTCCCTCTGTGATAGATTTTGGTGAGATTTGTTGTTGTTGTTGAAGATCATTGTCCTGTGACGAAGATGATACTAGTTGTGATGGTCTTTGAGGTAAAATGGTTCGATCAGGAGTTGTTCTCGGTGATTGATCAATATGATTAATATTCTGAGTAACGCCACCTGTTAAAATTGACTTTTGAGAGGAGCTAGTAGGAGAAATGTCAAACGATTTTTGACTACCAGATGGTGTAGAAGGTGGTGGAGTTAGACGCTCATTTGATTGACCAGGTGTTAAAATCTAGAATTAAAAAAGCAAAATTAACTATTAATCTATAATTTCAGAGCGTAAACAGAGCATGTATAAAAATTCTTTGTGCATATTCTTACAAACAAGGATAATCTTAATGTAATTGAACATTTTTCAATTGGTACTGTATGTGATGCCAATGGAAATGCGTCTGATTCAGTCATAGCCTCTTTGTCATACAATTGTCTAATTGGATAATTAACGTAACCCAATATATCATGATTATTTTTAGCATCTCGTACATTGATCTGTAGCGATTGATGACTCGGACGCGTTAATAATATATGTGAGACATGTTCAAATTTTAGATTAGTTGAACGTTCTAATGTAAGACTTCTATCTCTAACACTGTCCACAACAATTTCACACCTAAATACAAAATAATGATTTTTATGATTAAATTAACATAAAGTTGTTGATATCTTTCTTACCATGGATTCGGTTCTTGATTATGACGACTTTTTTTTGATGACTAAAAAATAAAAAAATAAAAATATGCAATGATATTTAGAGAGAAACACATTATTCTTACAGGTAAATTTGAACAATTATCAATGTAAAGGACTAATAATGCTTTGGATAACTTATCTTCTTTTAATTGATGACGATTAAAACCATCTATCTGAAAATATGAGAAAAATCAGTTAAAAAGTAAATAAATCATTGTACATACTTTTTCCAATGCTAATTTTGATGTTGTTAAAGAAAAATATTGCAATCGAACAAAAATCTTGCCTTGTTTCACTTCTTTTAATGTTAACCACTAGAATAAACATAAAATTTAATTGAAACAAAAATAATAATGGTTTGATTTTACATACAGTTTCAACGCTTGATTTTTCAACAACAGATTTTATGGGAAAATTAATGCTAAAAGTACAAAAATAATGATAATAAATATGATTCGTGAAATGTTTTTTAAGGATAATCTAAATCAAAAATTAGAGCTCAAAAAGTTCTACATTCATCTACTGCTGTTTAAAGTGTGGTTCGATTATTTGTGTAAGAAATCGATGAACGTGGAATAATTAGATAATTTATCTATTCTAAACTTGGACTAATCAGTTGTTAAGATACTCTAACACTAAAAAATAGAGCTTATACTTACCCTCCAATAAAATCGTCTTTCCCAGGATCTTCATCAAACACATCAAATCGAACATCATCACTTTCAAACTGTTCTACAGGAAATTCACAAACCTATTCAAGCGAAAGCAAAAATAAGTTAAGATTCTATAGAAGAATATTTTTAAAAATTTATTTACTTCATTCCATTCTGGATCTGTTGAATTATTTATAGTTTTTGTTTTATATTCAAAATTACCACCAGCTAAGAATTGCAAAAAAATATGTTTAAACTTTTGAAATATCGTTCATCTATAAACTAATTGTACCTGTCACTTTAACAAATGGATCTGATTTTCCTCGTCCAATAAAATTAATATCCGCTTTTATAAGATCTCGAGCTTTGATTATATAAACTCGAAGAACACCCTAAAATGATAATAAAAATAAGTTTTTCAAATGAATATATAGATCATTCAACTATACCTGTGGACTTGACCATCTTAAATGTCCTAATGGAATATTCGTCACTAGTGGAAATACTTGACGATTTGGTAATACCATCATTCCTCGAACAATATCATTTATTACAATCAACATTGTTTTACTAAAATTAGAGAAAACAATGTACATATAAATAAATACTGGCAAAGATTATTAAAATGCATAGTAATCATTCTCATAGTTAAACTTTTTAGAATAGAGTAACGATCACATACAAGAATTTTGCTTGAAACAAAAGTAAAAATCTTATATTGTTGAATCAAAATAATGTCAGGACTTATTTAAATAAACAAACACGCATACGATATATCGTGCAATTAATGGGGTAAATGAAGAAAAAGTATGGGAGAATAATGAGAATATTATAGGTGATCTATTCAGTTAAAAATAGGTTTTCTTCTTCTTCATGTCATTATAATTAGAGCAGCTAGCAAAATATCGAAATGTAATTGAGAAAATTTCAATCTGTCTCATCCATTTTCTACTTGAGAAGAAAGTAAGAATGCATACTTACTTCAAACCGGGTAAATCCATCAATGAGCCAGCATCAGTCAAATTAAAATCGATACTCTACAAAATGAAAAATCAGCAAAATAACAATAAATACATTAAAAATACTATAATTTAGATACCGGTGTCTTTAAAAAGAAGTAAGTCACAGCACCAACCAATGGAATATCGTGAATCAATGGACTAAGAATTATACGTAGATCACCACGAAACTAAAATAAAACAGAAATCAATTTTACACAATAAATAAAATCATTATTCTATTCAAAATATAGAATACTGCTTACTATTGTTCAAATAACGTTGGAACAAAAGAAGATAGAGATCCGCGGTTTTCTTAACAGATCAGATAAGCTATAATCATCACCAAATAAATAAAATTATTTATTTCATGTGATACAACTATACGATAACCTATATTTTCATTCATTTTAGAAAAAGGTTACTTAAAAATCGAGAAAATCCATTCATACAGCTCACAGAAAAACCTATGACATCCGATAATGAGACTTGGATAGAGAACTTAAACTCGGTTAGAATTTCAGAAAAAAGTTTACCGATTCGAATCCACTCAGAGATCAAAATTCATTACGTTTTTTTGACACAATAATCTATTTTATTTGCAGACGCGTATGTGGTACATCACATTAAAATCGTGATTTAAAGTAGCATTTTCTATTAGTTTCTAGGCTCAAGTTTTGAGTACAAAATGAAAAAAGCAGCAAATCTGTCGCCATTTACTCAGAACATGATGGAAAACAACAAAAATTCGATAGACCGCGATTAAATTTAAAATCACGAGAAACTAGGCATTACGGGAACCACATTTTCTTTTTAGAAAATACTCATGGATGGAAAATGTGACAATATTTTCTTTTCTTTAAAGAGTTATTTTGTACACTTCAGGCGTGTCAAATTTACGTTTAGCCTCTAAAAAGCAACCCTATCCCAGAATCTTATATTTTAATAAATTTAGTCGATTATTAATGTCCAGCAAACCTGAATATTTTTAACACCACAAACAATTTGTTTTATTTTTGCTTTAATTACAGCATCACCCGCATATCTAAACATAAATATTTCTATGATTTATTAAATTTAATCAGATAAGTTTATTTGAATACGTACAATACTTCCATGTCCATCATAATTTGATCTCTTATATTATCCGTGTACATTTTGATACTATCAATTCGAGGAGGCTAAAATGATAGAAAAACTAACATTAGTTCAACAATAGAAATATCATATTTTATATATACATACAGTATCTCCTAAATCTAATTCTTTAAAATCAAAATCGGCCAGTGCGGGATTAGTACCTCTTACTAATGGTGTCACTACTCCATCAAATATTTGCTTTTTTAAAAAATCTTTACAATAAGGCCAAGCTTGTTTAATTATTTTATTTGCCCATTCAGCACGTTCAACTTCTGGAAAAAATACCTAATTAAAAAAATTTTTTTCTAAGTAATTACTTTTAGAAGAAGAAATTGACTATGTTTATATACCCATGATGGTATAGTTTCTAAATGTTTTCGAATATAGTTTTTTTCATTTTCATCACTATTAATAGCTTCTAACATTTGTTGACGTTGTTTAAATATATTTCGTTGTCTTTGACGTAATAAATTAACCAAAACAAAAAGTAATATCCATGAGACACTGAAATGAAAATAACCTAAACACAAACAACATCAGTTTGTAACATATTCATCTTTTTTCTCACAAACTTTACCCAGTAGCCAAACGAAAAAAACAAGACCAACAAGCTCCAAATATCGTTTGGCAAATTTAAATAAATCGTCTTCGGATGATACTTGACCAATTTTTGCTCGAGGTAATATAAATTTTTGACAAAAATCAGTTATAATTGATGATACTGTAGATGTTGATACCAATGGTGATGATGAAGTAGAGGAAGACGGAGTTGATGGGACATCTTCGTTGTTGAGAAGAGAGTTAGGATTGCTCGATCCTCTGTGATATGCCATCGTTTGACTATGTACAAATCTACAAACATTAGTTAAATTTACATTTATTAGTTTTGTAGGTAAAACATATCATAGAACTTTCTCATCAGTATCTAAGGAACACTTTCTATTTGGTTAATTTTTCCACTGAGTATTTTAAGTAAACAAATGGCAATAAAAAATATTTAAATCTCAATGTAGTTTCTCTATATGTCTTATAAAACTACAGTTGACTTTATATAATCTACGTCAATAGTTAAGAAAGACTAATGCCAACAAAAATATTTACATTCGTATAAACGTTTAATAATATAAAGTTTATGGAATATATGATCACTTACGTTTACAGGAGTAGTGATCTTAGCCTTTTCAAGTATATTACAAGTAAATATAGAAAGTAAATAATGAGAAGAAAATTTTATGGAATAAAATCATTTCTTCCCTCTTTCATCGACTAAAATCATTTGATTTTTAAGATCTAGTTCTTGTTATTCAAATTGCAGATTCTTATTTTAATTACGGTATCATACCGTTTGACTATTTTTAATGTTTCTTTCTGTAGAGATAGGTCAAAATGAATAATAAATTCCTTTTTTGTTTTGATTATTTCAAGTAGAAGATCAAGCTTATTATGTGTATCATATTTTACGAAGGCACTTAATTTCAAACAATCCTCAATGGATGGGTGTGTGAAAGAGAAAGAGAGAGATAGAAAGAACAGAAATTAAGTTTATATGCGTAGAACAACTGAAAAAATTTGTGTATATATTCTAGAATAGAAACACACATGGCGTTATTCTGACAATGATACATGATGCTCAAGTTTTTCGGTGTTTTCATTGTCTCTCTTAAAAGCTGCGAGTTTTGGAGATGTTGAAAATAAATAAAAAAATAAAAAAAAATTTAGCTTTATATAAGATGGAAAAAAAATTGTAATTTGATGTTTGCTTACTAGTATTTTTTTTTTTTTGTCGTTCGATCAAGTTATTTGAAGGAAAAGAGAAATATTGAAAAAAATTCGTAAACGAATCAAATTTATCTGACCACACCCCCACAAAACAGAGAGAGACTCATTTATTATCAAAATTTATTATACGTGTTAATCATCTGTTCAGACGAACAAACATCGTCATGTTCAAAAAGTATAAATTCTTTGTGATATTTGGTTCGAAAATATACGCCTTAAAAAATGATTTAACGCTGGTTGGAGAAATAGTAAGTGGTAAAATAGATTAGATTTCATTTTTAATTAAAAAATGAAAAAACGTTGTCAAACACTCCGAAACTAGTATCGCTTTTTATCTAAAAAATGTGTATAAATCATCTCTTTATTGTGTTGTTGTTTCTTTTAAAAAGAAGACAAGACTGATCTCTATTTCTAACCAAATACAACACTACTCAAATGTACTTTATTAGCAAGATGAAGTTATCTAATATCTTATTCAATCTAAACTACAAAACTTCTGTCTCATTTTCTGTATAATCCAGTGTAATACATTCTGTTATATACCCTGAAATTAGTCATCAACATTCATTTAGTGTAACCTACATCCACCACTCAAAAGAAAACAATAAACGAAAATTCGAACAATATATCCGACAGAGCCTTTACTCTGTTCTCATCCTGATACTAAAAACTTTTTCTCTTTTTAATACTATTAGTATAACGTGGTATTTATCGACGAGAATATTTTTTTCTCCTCTTTCTTGGTCTTCACTGGTATATGCTCACAGGCGAAAAAAAATACGCCATCCCTTACATTACATAAATATAATAAATAACATAAAAGAGAAATAGTTTTTGGATAAACGTTCCTTGTAACAAGTTTACAGAAGAATAGAGAAAATTAGATATAATAAATAGATAATTTAATTATATAACTATAACAATGTTAATTTATCTTGGTTTTCATCTAAAAATTTATCAATTACTATCTACTGAAATCACTATCGAAATTTTATATAATGAATTATTTAAAAAATGTAATCAAAAATCTTGTAATCTGATCTATAGTCATACTAATTCGAAAGTGTTGTGAGAGTCAATGAAAATCAAAATTATTATCATGAAAAACATCAGTGATTTAGAAGAGATTGATAATTAAAAATTCGAATGAAGTTGAAAAAAGTTAATTTTTCTTCTTTTAATCATATTTTCTTAATCTGACTCAATTTTATACTATTAAAGAGCGAAACCAGACAAACTGATTAGTATAATCTTTGACTCGTATGTATTATTACCTGAGTATTTTTTTGTATTAACAGAAATCATTCTGTCTCTCACTAAGATAATACAGTTACAGTAGATAAACAGTCTCATTTTTCCTATGCTTCTTTCTTGTTCATAAACTGGTTTATATTATTTAAAAAACAATCATGATTTTTTTCGCATAATCGATGATGAATCAACTCATTTTTGTTCTTTCATTTTACAACTGTTTCCTTCTCTTCTTTATATGCAAAGAAGAAGTAAAAGTTCCTTCTATTTTCATAAATAAAATGAGTTAATTACACATAGAAAATAAAACTATGTATACAAGTGGTTTAGAAAAAATGTCAAATGTTCAAAATAAATGTTTGAATAGAATATTAAAATACATACATATTTACCGTAATCTTCTCAAAACAAAAAGTTTTTTTATTTTTCTATATTGTACTAGCATGCCTGCATTTTACATAGTGGAATATCTGTCAAATAAATAGTAAAAGTGTAAAACATTGAAAATATATTCTCTAAAGAATTAGTTTTCTCTCTAAAATTAAATTGATTATAAATACATAGAAAAAGGAAGAGAAAATAGCATCATGATTATTTTTCGAATGTAGAATATGAAAAAAAGTCACGATTCGAAATACATGTTTCTATAAAATATTTGTATCTAATTTCATCTACAAAAAAAGATTTTGCTATACATTCAATGTCATAGCGAAGATTTTAAGCATAAAAAGATATATAATCTCAACATAGGAATATTCGTCAGAGCAGTGTATGCTGTTTTAGAACAAGAAGAACAGCGTACAGTATTTAAATCGTTTACAAATTAAACGAAAACTGATGACTTGGTTGATCCAGTTTTTGATGCTTTCATATATCTGAATGTAGAGCTCAACGAATGACGACAAAGTGGTTTAGTAGCCCACTTTCTGCTCACTAATGGATCTGGTACTAAGAAACCTTCTCAATCAATCAGGGGGGGGGGGGGGGGGGGGCCGGCCCCGGGAAATTTTTTTGGTTTTTAGGGCAAAATTTTTACAAATTTTAAACCCCCAAAGTTAGGCCAAAAATTTAAAAAACTTTTT